ATATATATATATATATATATATATATATATATATATATATATATAGATTGAATTATTGAATAAATTAATAAAATAAAGTACAAGTAATAATTAAAGTATAGAATAATATATAAGTTTCTTGATTTTACGTAGACGTAAGCTGACTAATCATCAACATTATTACATAAAATCTCTGGATATAATTTATATGCATATATACATACAATAAAAAAATACTGTAACATTTGTTGCCAAAAACACCACATAGCTTGATAGTATGTACGTTTGTGTCATAAAGAATATATACTTTTTACTTTCTTCAGCATTTTTGGTATACTACAATGGTTCAGTCCAAATTATGTCAGATTTTTTTAACCGACATCTACTTGCACGCATAAAATAACAAAAATTTAAAAACAAATATGCATGCCGTGAAACAAACACAATATTGAATTTATAATATTAAATTAGATACATTTCATACAACGTGCTGCTCCAATCTAGTAATATTAATATGGAAAGTCAAGAATATACGATTAATACGCGTGGAAAAAATAATACTGTTTATTTTATTTAAATTTTCTTTTGAAAGTATAATAATCAATAAAGGATCAGTCATCAAATATACAGAACAGGCAAATAAAACTTGTGTTACATTTGTGATGCGATACAAGAACATAAAAGTTTAAAACACGTGCTTTTTTGTTTTTCTTAAAAATTCGTACGTAATTTTGTACTTTAAACATTTAATTTAAGAAGCGCACAGATCTCTTCTATAGATACATAAAGGTACGTGATGCGTGATATATAAAAAATTAGATGCAGAAAAAAAGACTTTAGAAACTTTCATACAATCCACGTTATATTTTTTTCTATATACAGAAAGGAAACAGTTTCAGTTCATGTAATTATTTTCAGTTTATGACACGAACAGCAGCCTAGAATTCATTTATAGAATGCGAAGCACCAAGATTTAGATATTATATTGATCAACATTGCTACTTCAGAAGATAGAGTAAACATTTTTTTTTTCCCACAGCAATTTGAACACAAACTGGTTAGCTTCATTTGGTTTACATGGCTTCTAGTATTTGGTTTTCTTGTTATTTAACCGTTTGAGTGCCGGAAACGGCTGCAAAAATCTGTGCAAAAAATGTTGAGCAAGCGCCACAATAAATCCATTGTTGATCAATTTCTACCGCGGTTCTCAAGACTCACCTACATAGTTACTAAATCGAACTATTCTCAAATACTAGATAACAATATCAAATAATAAGACAAAAGGTGGGGCAAAGCGCTTGTTGGAAATTCTTTAATCTAAAACGAGAGAAGCGTGCGTGCGTTTGTTAGCATTTTTCAACGTGAAACAGGAGAAGCGCACGCATGCTCCTTGGCATTCAAACGATTAATATATATATTCAGTAATAAGAGTAATCTTAAATAAAAATAAAGTTATTTATAGATTTGTGTGAATCCTAGCTAATTATAATAACCAGCAATAATCTTATATATTAAATCATGCGAAAAACATCGAATCACATATGTCTGTACAAACATAAGAATCTAAACTGAATTATTTGCAACTGATCCTTTCTTTTTATACAAACACGTCAAAAAATCCATTATTGTAGAAATTAATGACAATATATAGAATACAAAAAATTATGTACAATAGAGTTTGTATAATAATCTCATAATCATTCAATATTCATCAAAAGTACAATGAAAATGTATCTTCTATATATATATAT